GATTAGGTTTCAACATATGAATACTCAATTCATAGCTCTGAGTATTACCGATCATTAGAAGGGAGGTGGAAAAATTTAGTGGTTTACTAACCATGGCTTTGCCAAAGACATTTTGGAGAAACATCTAAACATCTCTCTTGTTCCCAGTCCTAGGCCCCCAAGTAAATTTTCCCACAGACCCAAAAGAGAACATGTCAATGATATTCATCAGTCATATTTGTGATAACAGAAAGGTAGAAAGAATTTGAGGAAATGAATGAGTGAAATATATGAGATAGATACTAAGAAATGCTCTCTTTTTTGAGATCAGAGTACAAGTAAATGGAAAAACAAAAGCCGAACTCAATACTCAATTAAACTGGCTCTCACTCATTTCATACCTGGGCACACCACTACCTGGATTTTCAATAGAATTGCCTGGCTTTTCTCTCAAATAAATTGTAATAATCACCAAAGTAAAGGCATCACATCTGAGTATCTTTTAAAGAAGATAACTTGCAGGACTCCAGTCTACTTTCAAGCCTGAAAACTTTGCCTCTGTTGCTGTTCTGAAGCCAGAGGGTGAGACATCAAGGAGAAAAGGTAAAGTTCATCTCCTTCATCTTGATCCCAGTTCTTTCAACATCCAGTTTTGGAGCTGTTAATGAGACAACTTAAGTAAAAGGAAATGAGAGTTTATTGCTGCCAACTACTGTTTGATATGTTTCAGACATTAAAGTCAGCTACACTGAGGAAAGTCTAGAGGAGATGTGAAGAGTGTATTGATAGACCAGAATTTGAAACCCAAAATATGCCTCTTTGGCATAAAGATTATTTTGAGGACCTGCAGGCATAGAAGAAGCCCTGAAAAAAAGAGAAATCATCCTTTTTGTGAAGGAAATTCACAAGTATGAAGGAAAGTTCCATTTATAAGAATATCCCCCTCTCAGTACCTAGAAAAGAAGGATGGCTTTAATTGTTGTTGTTGTTTTCATGTTTTTGGCAGTACTGGGTTTGAAATCAGGGCTTCACACTTGCTAGGAGTGCTGCCATGTGATTCACTCCACCAGCCTTCAGTAGACCTTAACAGTGATCTGCCTTAGCAAACTACCCTTGTTGACCTTGTTACTGTTAGTGGTTTCCATAACTGGCCTCCCTAACAACCTTTGCTCCGGAGCTGAAGATGGTATTGATGCCTAAATTCTAAGCCACTTCTATGAGATTTACTCATTTCCTGAGTGTGTGGGTAGGTGTATGTATGTGTACACACAAGCACACACACAGATGTGTATGAGATAGACATGTTACTTCTGTATGTTTTCTCTCCTGTTAATCTGTCTGTCTTTTACTACAGGGAATCTCATTTGAGAACTCAGAAAGAATTGGGGGAAAATTATTTTTTTCTTCTATAGACATGTATGGCAGTAAGACATTGAAAAATGGTCAGGGAAGAGCCTTAGGTAGCACAGGAGAGAGCATCAAGTACTAAAAGCTTTGTATGTTGGAGCGCATACTTGGTTCTTCAGAGTTTTAAGAGAAAGTAAGGGGTTTCTGTAGTGAAGGGTGTTGCAAATCAGGTTTAGGCCAGGAGAAAACATAGGCATAGTGAACCTTAAGTAGAGAGGGTGGGACAAAATCAAGGGAGGAAAGCTCTGGAAGGGTAGTAGGCTCTGCGTTCATCTTCAAAGTTTACTTGTTGTTGTTGTTTTATGGAACTGGGGATTGAACTCAGGACCTTGTGTTAGCTAGGCAAAGACTGCACACATCACACCTCCAAGCCTTTTTGTGTTAGTTATTTTTCACATAGGGTTTCACATCTTTTGCCTAGGTTGGCGTGGACCACTAACCTCCTATTCTTGCCTTCTGAATAGCTGTGATAACAAATTCCTGCCACTATGCCTAGCTTATTGTTTGAAACAGTCTCAGTAGATTTTTGCCTTGACTGGCTTGGAACCACAATCCTCCCGTTCTCTGCCTCCTGAGTCGCTGGGATTAAGACTTGAGACACTGTGTCTGGCCCAGAGATTTTTACTTGATTTTCCTGGGGCTCAGAAAGCAATACCACAAAATATGCTAGTTGGTTTTTTAATTTTATTTTTTGTCCAATCCAAGATCACCCAGGGAATAGCAAATGCAAGGTATAGTTATCCCTGGGTTTTTGTTTATATACTTAAAGGCTGAATCCAAAGACATTCAAATTGTTCTGAATTCCTTTATTGGATATCTCATCAACTGCAAGAGATAGATGTATATTTATCACAGAAAGGTAGACTAGAGATGACACCCAAAGCTCAGACTTTGTTCCAGGTTATTGTCTGTCTTTTGGGCCTATTCACCTTCACTAAAAATCAGTTATTCTTCCTGTAAAATTGTCTACATCTCTCACTGCCTCCTTCTCTGTGAAGAGGGTTTATGAAGTTGTAAGTTTCATTGGGTTGTGGAGTACTTGTTGTCCTGTGATGCCCATGAATGTAATGGATATGCATGCTTTTTTCCTGTTCTCTGCTGTCAGTTCATTTCTCCAAGGGAAAGAGAGGGCTCTTAATAACATATTGAGACATTACAAACTTAAGGATGCTTTAAGTATGAGAGTAGGGATGGTGATTATAGTGAACGAGGAAGATGGGAAGCTCCATGATTTTACATTTCATATTTAAAGTTTTAACTTGGTAAAGTCACAAAATGCAGAAAGGTGAGGAATTGTGGAATAGAAGGCAGAATTTGAGAGATTGATTTCATGGAGAGGTGTGGACGCAAGTCAGTGTTGTTTTGGAGACATGAATATATTTCATATGTGTGTATTTATTTTGGGGACAGGAGAAATGAGAATTTGGAGAGAAGCGAATAAACTATTTTTAAATAAGAAACACAGAAAGAAAAGAAAAAGACATTTAAAACATGATCTACTAGCTAATTCCAAGGCCCTAAGAAAAATAGGCAAGACAAAATCAGCAGTGAAGGAGATAAAATAGATGGAATACAAATTAAAAATCTAATGATATTGAAGTGAATTGAGCCCAATTCTTTGAATTAAGAACATTAAGACATTGTGGATTAGCCAGTAGCCTTCAGAACACTGAACCCTATTTATTCAGCTGACTAAGAGGAACGGAAACTGTATGGAACCTAAAACACTGCCAGTGCTACTCTAGAAGTACATCTCTCCTAAGGTGACAAAATTGCACAACTATTTATACTAGTTTATCAACAAGGATTTATTAGGCAACTCATTTCTATTATCATTACAATTTGCTGTGGAAAACAAAAGGAAGCATTTTCAAAGTACTTCATTTAAGTGAAACAAGATTCTCAAACTTTTTGAGAAATCTTTAGTTCTTTCCTCCCTGCAGAGGGTAGAAGAGCATTAACAAAGAATCTGGTTTAACAAAGAGGATTTATAAATATTTACAACTGAAACAATATGCATGTCAATGTTGTAGCAATAGAAAGGTGTGATCTTTTTCTTAATTCATTATAAGGGTAGGTGAGTCATGGCCCACACTTCTATAACAAAAAACAGATGAATTAGAGAAAATCATAGTACTTTTATTTCCAAATTTATTTAGCTAGTTTCACAGTGCTGAGAATCCAACCAAGGGCCTTGCTCTCCACCATTGGGCTACATTCCCTAGCCCTCTAATAGATTTATTTAATCAAATTTTAAGTGATACAGGAGCATCCAGAATCAAAGACCAATCTGGAGTGTGGTTTAATGGTAGGGTGCCTAACAAGCATAAAGCCTTGAGTTTCAAACTCTAGTACTGAAAACACACACACACACACACACACACACACACACACACACACCAGAATCAAAGACCCAAAAAACTCAGAGAAAAACTTGCCTTTTTTCTTTTTCTTTTTTTAAAACAGGGATCTACTAGGTAGTCCTGGCCAGTCTCAAACTAGTGATCTTCCTTATTTAACATTCCAAATGCTGAGATTATAAGTATGTGCCACCACGCTTGGCACAACTGCCTATTTTTATGTTTAGATTTGATAAAGAATGGGCATCTTTGCACAATATGACTGGACAAACAGGATGTGACCCAATGTTTGTAGACTAAAGGGGATTCTACTTGGCCTCTGTACAGCATTCCTTCCCCCTGGGTATTGAGCAGGGCCCCTCAGAATGAGGCTGTTCAAGGGAGAAGGGGGAGTGAACTTTCTGGTTTTCATGGTTTGCTATGGAGGAGAGGAGTTCTAGTTTCTACTGCCTGCCTTGAGGAAGAGGTATACTGGTTCTATGACTTGCTTTGGAAGTAAGAGGACGGAAGAATGTCAGGCATTTGCATCTGAGGCTCTTCCAATCTTTAGTCCAAAGCACTCAGTATGCAAAGTGCCATACTCTAGGGCACTGCGTTCTGAGTGTCAACAATGTGTTCCCAGGACAAGCCACTATCAAGGCAACCAAACCAGAGTCCTTTCAGAGTATGTTATTAAAGGATCAGATTATTTCACGCCAGAACATGCCACTTGGCTTTAGAGATTATTTAAAGTTAACTGTTTTGAGAAACCGTGAGCATAGAAAAAAATGCAAAAACTGGGTAAAAAAAATTTTCAGGGAAAAAAACCATTTACATTTACAAAGGAGTTATGTCCCTTAAAGTTGTCCTCTGCCATACCCGAAGAATGAGTCCCAGAAAAGATTCTTACTAGTTAGAATGACTGGAATCTGCAAAACAAACTTTACTAGGTAAGTCTGACTTTCCATTAGTTTACCTCCCTTTAAACTGTCTTATGAGCTGCAAGGTCTAATTGCTTCTTTAGGCTTTTATTCCGTTTCTGCAAAACGCTAGAAGTTCAAAACACTACGCGGAGGAAATAATTTGAAAATGGGTCTTTTTTTTTTTTTCTTTTTGAAGGGTCTGAAATTTAGGTACCGCCCTTTCCGTTTGCGCTGAAAACGTGGACAGGCTCAGTTCAGGAATTAAATTAGCCCATGGGTCCCAATCAGGTCCGCTTTGAGACTATATAAATCTTTGCTCCTGGTGTTTGTGGTATCTTGTTCTATTACAGCCATGTCTGGAAGAGGTAAAGGCGGGAAGGGTCTTGGTAAGGGCGGTGCTAAGCGCCACCGCAAAGTCCTGCGCGACAACATCCAGGGCATCACCAAGCCCGCCATCCGGCGCCTGGCCCGCCGCGGCGGAGTCAAGCGCATCTCCGGCCTCATCTACGAGGAGACCCGCGGGGTGCTCAAGGTTTTCCTGGAGAACGTGATCCGGGACGCCGTCACCTACACGGAGCACGCCAAGCGCAAGACGGTGACCGCCATGGACGTGGTCTACGCGCTCAAGCGCCAGGGCCGCACCCTCTACGGCTTCGGAGGCTAAGCTAATCTTAAACCACTGTTTAGGGATGGTTCAAAGGCCCTTTTCAGGGCCGCCCACAAAATCTGCGGAAGGCTGTGGAAACTTCATACCGTCAGTGGGGTGTTGGTAGCGAATTCTTAATCATTAACATGTCAAAGTTTAATTAGGTGTCCCTTGAAGCACTAATGCTCAAAGTGGCAGTTTTCCATTTTAAACCAAATAACCGCCTTTCAGTTTAGTAAATAGGGTAAGCAGGTCACCCTATGTCGGTTGCTTTCTCTCCATTATGGCCAGGAGTGAATAACGACAATTTACTAAGACCAAAGAAAATACTCTTGGCTATAACTTTTTTTTTTTTTTTTTTTGTCTTTTTTGGTGCTGGGATCGAACCCAGGGTCTCACGCATGCTAGGCAAGCGCTGTACCACCGAGCTACATCCCAGCCCAGACCATAACTATTGAAGCGGCTTATTTCTAGGTATGTTCAAGTTGGACAACTGCAGGCAAAGCACATGACTTGAATTTTTAATCACATCACTTGCAAGCAATTTGCTTTAGTTGCAGTTTCATGTCTTATTTAAGTTTTTTGTCAATATCCCAATGATGACGCTTCTCTGAGTCACGCAAGCACATGATCCTCAAGGAAACATTTCCCGGAATTTTAGTACCTGGAAAATCTTAGAGGCTTTTGTAAAACCTTTATATACCATGGCAGAAAATGATTTCCTTTCATTAGAGGATTTAACTGGGAATCAATTCTGTGGGTGGAAAGATAACGTCAGTAGCGTACTGTCCAATCAGAACGCGAGGATCTTTATAAATTCTGAGCTTTTGGCTGTGCCATTGCTCATTCTTGCTGAGTTACTGAGTACTTTGCGTTATGGCTCGCACTAAGCAGACGGCTCGCAAGTCCACCGGCGGCAAGGCGCCGCGCAAGCAGCTGGCCACCAAGGCCGCCCGCAAGAGCGCGCCGGCCACCGGCGGCGTGAAGAAGCCCCACCGCTACCGGCCCGGCACCGTGGCGCTGCGCGAGATCCGCCGCTACCAGAAGTCCACCGAGCTGCTGATCCGCAAACTGCCGTTCCAGCGCCTGGTGCGCGAGATCGCGCAGGACTTCAAGACCGATCTGCGCTTCCAGAGTTCGGCCGTCATGGCGCTGCAGGAGGCTTGTGAATCCTATCTGGTGGGCCTGTTTGAGGACACCAACCTGTGCGCCATCCACGCCAAGCGCGTCACCATCATGCCTAAGGACATCCAGCTTGCGCGTCGCATCCGTGGAGAGAGAGCTTAAGTTTTTAGTGGCTCTACGTGTGCGTTATCCCAAAAGGCTCTTTTCAGAGCCCCTCAGTTGTCACCAAAACAGCTGTTGCCTAGTCTAGTTTTAAAAGTCTCAAAGCAGTAGTTACTGTAGCCTTAATAGCTTCATAGTGTTCTGGGCATGCTTACTATCCGCAATAAGTACTTAAAGTATTCCATCTTGAGAAGTGACAGCCACTTGAGTTACCTGTCTATACAAAGCAAAAGGAAAAAGTACTTCATTCCCTGTCTTGAATGGGTAGTTTGTGTAGGAGGCAATGTGCATCCTTGTAGTTTATCCCTGGACGTTCACAAATGTTCCTGTTTTTTGGCATGCATACTTGGCTCTGGGCAGGAGAAGCCCTCCTGGGTATAGAGTATTCTGTTTTCTATTCTCTGTAATATTTAGCAAGCCTTGTTAATGGCCTTAAGAGTAATCGTAGGTGGCCAAAGCTCCGTGTCCTTTGAAAGTGTAGTCAGACTGGGATGTACGTGGCATTTTAAGGCTGTTCCTGATCGCCACCCAACTGACGATCAGGAGCAGTTAACTTTGCTCAGCATTTTCAACTATTTAATCTGCTTATTTGCTTGCTCTTCATATATAACTTATTTTGCTGTTTATCTTTCTGGGTATCCATCTTGACTGAAGGAGATAGAGTCATGTAAAGCCAGTTTTGTTTTTGTTTTTGTTTTCTTCCTGAGTCTTCTCAGGACAGTTCTCCCTGGGCTCTCCCTTCTTTCCCCTATACTTTAATTCACTCTGACAAAGGGGCTTATATCCCAGCAACTGATTCTTTGTAAAACTTCTTGGAAACACTGGGAATTGATCCAGGAAATAGTTCTGGCCTATAGGACTAAAAGCCTTTTCCAACAATTTCAAGCTCCTGCTAGATGTAGGGACAACTCTTGATGTCACCTTTCCCTTGCTTCTCCCCCTAGGATTTTCCCCTGTAATAGAGGTGAGGTCAGAGATCTAGGTTTAAATCCCAGGGCTTCCAGGTACTAGTTGTGTAACCTTTGGGAGTTGCTTTTTCTGGATGTCAGGTTAAACAGCTGTAAAATGTGGTAAATGAATTAAAACCTACACAGAACACTTAGATGACTTCCTGGCACTTAGAAAAGCCAAATAAATGTTAGTCCTCATTTGTTCATGGAGTTTAAAGCAGGTAGTTTCCCTTGAATCTTCTGAAAACTTTGTGATTCCAACAGTCAGAAGTGCTTTCTTTTCTTTAGTTTTTATTAGCTGTGTTCTGAAGTAGGCCTGCCTGAAGGAACATCTATGTGTAGAGGAGTACAAAACGTGGCAAAAGGGCCAGACAATAAATAATCTTAGGCTTTGCAAGGCACATACGGTCTCTGACACGTCTTATTTTTGAGTTTTACAATACATTAAAAATTTAAAGACAATTCTCAGATTGAGGTTCATAAAAATAGGCTACTGTCTAGATTTGGCTATTTTGCCAACCCCTCCAGGAGCTCCTGGAAAGATGAAATATGTATGCCACTTTAAACTTCCCTGCACATCTTTTCACTGGAAAGAATTGAGTGACTATTGACTTCTTTTTTTTTTATATCAAAAAAAAGTTTGTGATGTGATTTTACTATATATCTGAATAAAGCTGTCAATCTCTTTTATCTGACTAGCACAAAGTTCTGTACATTTCCCTTCCCCAAAAAATAGCAAACCTCAGTCCTCCATTCTCCCCTCATGGCCTGAGTTTTGTTTTCCTGAATTCTTCTGTACCTCCGTAGCCTTCAATCCCACACTATGCAATCCAATTTCACAAATCAATATCCACCTATTAAAATTATTCATGTCTGCCTCTAAACATACAAAAATGCATGCTCATATATATGTATCCTGACTGCTTATACATCAGTATTCCTAGTGGTGTTACTTATTAAATCTTAATGAAGATGTCAGTGTTAGCACTGGGAAGAATGCTTTGAAAACCTCATAGGATCGCAGACCATATTAAACAATTTGTGTATCTGAGAGCTACAGGGAGTTCTTGAATAATTTTCTCCAGGTTTTTTTCCCCTAAGCAAGTGATCTGCATTAAGCATTTTTTAATCCCCATTTTAATGGAGTTGCCCAGGAGCTAAGCAAAAATACCTAAATCAGAAAACATTTGAATTCAGTGGTTGGCTTCTTGAACTCAAAGCTATTTCTAATCTTTTTACTGCTACTTGGAATAAATCATTCTGACAACTGCAAAAATCTGAATCTCTTAGAAAAACATTAGGATGTGGAAACTACTAGGAGGCAGAACCGGTTTTTAAAGTAAGATCTATGTAGTTAATTTCAACTGTAGGCAACTAGCTGCCTTATGCCTGTGTTACTTGCTACAGTTCGAAACAAAGTTTATGCCTAAACCAAGGAATCTATTGTGTTTCCTGTTGCAAAAATCAAAGCCTGAGCCTATGGACAAATCCTTTAAATAGTATTTATTGGATACTTTGTAGCAGCTTATTACAACACGCAACCAATTAGCACGATGCCCTCAGCCTGGTGGATTCTTATGAAAAACTGAAAGGATTTTTAAAAATATCTTTCGTCAATTGTCTGTGAGTCATAAAAAAACAAACAAGTATGTGGACCTGGAGACTGTTTTCCTTCTTTGGAACTTCAAAGCGCCAAATCCTGTGTCGTTGTTTTCAGCATTTAATCAAATTTTGAGAAGTAACAAACACAATTTTGAAGTCCAACCTTGATCTGCAGCGGCCCAAGGGCGGTGGATTGGACGCTCCACCAATCACAGGCCAGCACCGGCTTATATAAGCCCAGGCCCGAGCTAACCAGCATTACAAAACTTGCTCCCTGGTTTTCGAGTCTCTTCTCTACTAGCAGTTGTTCCCATTCTGCCATGTCGGAAACTGCTCCAGCTGAGACGGCAGCTCCGGCCCCGGTGGAGAAGTCCCCTGCCAAGAAGAAGGCTACAAAGAAGGCAGCTGGCGCAGGTGCGGCTAAGCGAAAGGCCACCGGACCCCCAGTCTCCGAGCTCATCACTAAGGCTGTGGCAGCTTCCAAAGAGCGCAATGGCCTTTCTTTAGCTGCGCTTAAGAAAGCCTTGGCTGCGGGTGGCTACGACGTGGAGAAGAACAACAGCCGCATCAAGTTGGGTCTCAAGAGCCTGGTGAGCAAAGGCACCCTGGTGCAGACCAAGGGTACTGGTGCTTCCGGCTCCTTCAAACTCAACAAGAAAGCGGCCCCTGGGGAAGTCAAGCCCAAAGCTAAGAAAGCCGGTGCAGCCAAAGCCAAGAAGCCTGCAGGTGCCACCCCCAAGAAACCTAAGAAGGCTGCGGCATCCAAGAAGACAGTGAAGAAGACTCCCAAGAAGGCAAAGAAGCCTGCGGCAGCTGGTGTAAAAAAAGTGGCTAAGAGCCCTAAGAAGGCCAAGGCTGCTGCCAAGCCGAAAAAAGCTGCTAAGAGCCCCGCCAAGCCCAAGGCTGTCAAGCCAAAGGCTGCCAAGCCCAAGGCTGCGAAGCCTAAAGCAGCAAAACCTAAAGCTGCAAAGCCTAAGAAGGCGGCTCCTAAGAAGAAGTAGGAAGTAGGCGTGGAAAACGAGCAGCAAAGCCCCAAAGGCTCTTTTCAGAGCCACCCAGAGATCTCTACGAAAATAGCTGTGCGCTAGCTTTTGTGGTTCCATGCTATCTTTTAACTCTCGCATGCGCTCTAGCACTGAAAAAGCGATTGGAGCCCAAAAGCTTTCATTAAACGAATAGGTTAAATTGAGTGTATTGCGACTCAGCTCTTCTTAAGAATTAAGTAAGTGGCTCTGAAAAGAGCCTTTGGTTTACAGGCGAGCTTACTTGCCCTTGGTTTTGTGATGACTCTCGGTCTTCTTGGGCAGCAGCACTGCCTGGATGTTGGGGAGGACGCCGCCCTGAGCGATGGTGACTTTACCCAGAAGCTTGTTGAGCTCTTCGTCATTGCGGATGGCCAGCTGCAGGTGGCGCGGGATGATGCGGGTCTTCTTGTTGTCCCTGGCCGCGTTGCCCGCCAGCTCCAGGATCTCGGCGGTCAGGTACTCCAGCACCGCCGCCAGGTACACCGGGGCGCCGGCTCCGACCCGCTCGGCATAGTTGCCCTTGCGGAGCAGGCGGTGGACACGGCCCACGGGGAACTGGAGACCCGCACGGGAAGACCGGGTCTTGGCTTTGGCGCGAGCCTTGCCGCCTTGCTTGCCACGTCCAGACATGGCGAAAGAATAATGTCAAGTGAATACACCGGATGCTAGCGCCAAAACTGTTGTACTTATAGTTATTACAGGGCGCGAAAATGAAGCCCTACCATTGGCTACAACTGCACTTTCTCTTAAACCAATGGTATTATGGTTTTGAAATATGCTTACTTTGATTGGGCCAAATCAATATATGACGTCCTGTAGAAAGTATCACTACACAGAAACAGGATTTTGGTCATCACCTAATTTGCATAACGCATTGTAAATAAAAAGCTCAAAACTTTTCCTGGCCACATTTGCCTGATTCTTTGCATCTCCACTGTATTTGAGCTGGTCACATCAGCTCCAAGAAGGTAGAAGTCACCGAAGGACCGCTGGAAACGAAAGCTCTACGGCAAGGCGAGTTAAGCTACGAGTACATAATGCCAAATGAGGTCTACGCCAACACCGGCGTCTCGTCCAACCTCGCGGCCATCGTTTACTCACCTACACCGTTGAGCGCATCGCGGGTGAGGCGACTCTCCGGATGCATTACAAACAGGCTTGAAGGTTGCATTCGGGAGATCCAGAGGGCCGTGCGCCTGCTGCTACCAAGGGAGCTGGCCCTGCACCCCGTGTCCAAGGGCACCAAGGCCTTCACCCAATACACCATTTTGTTCCTCTACAGGTGCCTAAGTCTCAAAGCCCCTTTTCAGAAGTACATTTCCAAGGAAAACTCACTTATTTTACTCTTCTCTTAAAGGTAGCAAGTCATTTGGTAAATACATATTAGCTTATATAGGAGGTACATTGGCCATTTAAATAAAATTGTCAGCTCTCAAGGTTTTCGTGTTAACAGTACCCAAAACGAGAGTTTTACTGTGCTCATTTCACTTAACATGAGGCTGAATTTTAACATTAAGAATAGGCAGTAAGTTAGAAGACAGTGCTTGCCTAGCATGCAGGTGGTCCTGGGTTCCATAACTGCAAATAATTTTTGCATGAGCGTATTCCTCTTTTCATGAGACTTAATTTTTTGAGTCATTTACAAGATTTCAAGTGCCTTTTAAGACCTTAACGCATTAGCTGGACATTTTGCAAGTTATCTGACCACTTTCAAGCCTCCCAGTAGGAAGCTCAATAAATAACAGTACATTGATTTACAGGAACTTTAAGATCAAAGTATTTCCTTATTTTGTAACTTAGATGCAACCTCCCACTCTAGGCCTTATTTGTACATATAGTGATTTAATGATGTTGAGATAAGGGTGAAGATGAAGGAGAATTTGTGACTGAATTAAGACCCCTCTTCTTTTTGGTTAAGGACTGGATTTGTTTCTCCCTAATCTGTACCTTTGTCGTAGGTAGATTAAGGTAGTCCACACCCTTCCTATGAAGTTCTAATTTAAAATGTGACTTGAGCCAGGCACTGATGGATCATGTCTGTAATCCTAGTTTCTCAGTAAGCAGAAATCAGGAGGATTGTGGTTTGAGGCCAGCCTGGGCAAATAGTTCCCGAGATCCTATCTTGAAAAAAAAAAAAAATCACACACACACAAAGGACTGGTGGAGAGGCTCAAGGTGTAGGCCCACCCAGAATTCAAGCCCCAGTACCATAAATAAATAGTAAAATGTAACTTGATTCTGCCTCATGCTCTTCATTCACCTTTTAATGTTTTAAAGGAAAGCTGTATGGAGATTCCTCAAAAACTAGAGCTAGAACTGCATATGATCCAGTTATACCAGTTCTGGGCATCTACCCTAAAGAACATAAGACAGGAAACAGTAGAGACACCTCTGTACACTGATGTCCATCTCAGTAGTATTCAAAATAGCCAAGTTTTGGAAACAACCCAGATGCCTTACAACTGATGAATGGATTAAGAACTTGTATATATACACAATGTTAATTGTGTATTCATTGTAATTGGAATAATACTCAGCCACAAGGAATACGGACATGTGGTTTGAAGGTAAAATGGATGCAATTGGAGGACATCATGTTGAATGAAGTTAGCCAGGATCAGAAACACACAAGCTGCGTGTTTTCACTTATAGGAGGAAGATAGATCCAAAGAAAAACATATACACAAAACCAAACATGATCATGTACAAACTCAGGTGTTGAGCATGTTTGTAACAGTGGAACTACTGTATGGAACTTGGGGAAGGAGGAAGAGGAAAAGAGAATGATAGAGCATCAGTAATATCACATATCATAAAATACGAAGGCAAAGGATATAAGGATGTGTATTGAAAGCTGTTGAAAAATGGTGGGTGGGAGGTAAAGGGGTAATGGAGAAAAATAGAAGTGATTGAACAGACCAAAGTAAAGCACACCCACAGTGGGCATACATTGAGAAACCCCTTTGAATGTGAACTTAAATATTAATAAAGAAAACAGGGACCATAAAATAGGCACAGTGTGGGGGGGGCACTAATGGGGGGAGGGAGGGGGAGGGAAGGAGATTAAAGTGATGGTATATGGCAGATGGACTTCATATACCTATATGAAAAAGAACTAAAAAACCTCTTGGATTTGCTTTAAGTGGGGTGGGGAGGGAGTTGAGAGGGAGAGACAATGGGGGAAATGTAAATAATGTACAATATAAGGCTAGTCAGAATTGTCACTATGAACCTCCCCTCCCCTGTATAATGAATATGTCCTAATTTGAAAGAAGAGAGAGAGAGAGAGAGAGAGAGAGAGAGAGAGAGAGAGGGAGAGAGAGAGAGAAATGGCATTATTGCTTAGTGTTTTTTCATGAGGTTGAGATTTCTTCATTTGGAATACTAGTCAGTTCCTTTTCTGAATAAGTTCCACATTTCATTCCATTCTATTTCTTCCTTTTGAGTAATAAAAGGAAAATTCTAGACAGCAATTCAATCTTTTTGAAATTTAAAGGAGGGAGAGTAAAAAGCAAGTTCCCACCTCTCCTTGCTGGGCTTGAACTCAGAGCCTCACTCTTGCAAAGTAGGTGCTCTATCATTTGAGCCAAAGTGCTAGCCCTTTTTTTTGTGTTGGTTATTATTATTATTATTATTTTGGTGGTACAGAGTTTGAACTCAGGGCTTCATGCTTGCTAGGCAGGCATCTACCACTTGAGCCACTGCACCTGCCTGTGTTATTTTTGAGATAGAGTTTCAGTTAATGCCCAGCCAGCCTGGACCTTGCTCCCCCTAAGTGTGGTTCCCTGTTTAGCTGGGATGACAGGCACACACCACCGTGCCAAGCCATTGATTGAGAGGGGGTCTCTCTGCTATCTCAGACAGGCCTTCAACCTGGAACCTATTGCTTGCCACTTTCTGACTAGCTAAGACTACAGGCTTGAGTCACTGCACCTGGTTTTGTTTTATTTTCATTTTTGTTTTTTCAATCCAAGAGAGAAGTGCAGTCTTCCCAATGTCAAGACTGGCAGAGTTCAGTTACCCTTTCCAGGAATCAGTGTGGAAAAACAAGTCTCAATCATTCTACAGACCATTAAATATTAACATCTTAAAAAAAAAAAGCACACTTTTATTTCTTTCCTAGGTACCCCTCCTCCTCTTGGTACAGGAGATTGAATTCAGGATCTTTCACCAAGTGCTCTTCCAGTTGAGCCATGACCTCCAGCCATTTTTGCTTTGGTTGTTTTTCAGACAGTCTCTGTCCAACAGACCTCAGATGAAATCATCCTATCAGTGCCTCAGGTGTAGCTGGGATTATAGCCATACACTACCATACCCACCATTTAGGTATTATTTGATCTTTCCCCATTAAAAGGAAGGCGGTCTTAGATGCAAACCTATGGGAATAAAAAGCACAAAATTTGGGCTTTTGGGGCTCAAGAAACAAAGGAAGAAGAGATAAGCCAAGCTTGTAAATAAAGCCAGTGGCTCTTCTCTCACCTTTAAAAGATGAACAGAAGGTGATCGGTATCTTTTTCCCTCTTCTTTTGTTTTTTCTTTCTTTTTGGGGGGGGTGCTACTGGGGTTTGAGCTCAGAACTTCAAGCTTGCAAAGCAAGTGCTTTATGGCTTGAGTCACACCTCCAGTTTCAGAAGGTGACTTGAAACACCTGTTTAAGTCATTTCTTTACTAGATCAACCAGCATTATGGAATCTAAAGTTAGTGATACTGATTTAGGGAAGAAACGGGCTGTTAGGATCACACAGGTAGAGCTATTATTTTCTGAGATGTACTTGTTCTGTTGTGGAGTCCTTATTCATCCATTCATCTTTTCTGACCTTCAAAGCCAACCACAATTCTTACTCCTATGAAATCTTTCTTAATCATTCCAATTTGCATTATTTTCACTTCTTAAATTTTCTCCAGTTTTTGCCTTCCTCTTATAACCTTCCCCTCTCACACACACCCTGCCTATGTGCAAGCTAGGGTCTCTCTTACTTATATCTTTATACTTTCATCTTTTCCAGATCCAATAATCTCAAAAGTATACTTTGTTCCTAAAGTCTCCTTTTTGTGTTTAATAATACATGCTTAACCAATATCACTGGTCTCTTCTATTATGGGTGACCTGTGGGAACTACTGGTTCCCAGCTTTGAAATTAAGAGACTAACCTCTAAAGCATATGGCCACTTCAAGACATCAAGATTTTGGCTTGTCTAAAACTTAGTATCTATGCTTTTAAATTGGAGATGACAGTAATTCATAGAGAATGACTAAGAAAGACTGCTGTGAGCATCAGTGAGAATGCTCTGTGAATTATGAATTATTATTCACATTTTTCCTGGTACCATTTCTTATATCTTTCTCTTTTCCTCCCTCTCCTCTGTCTCTATTCTCTCTCTCTCTCTCTCTGTCTACTTACATACATGTATATTCACACATACACATTTTATTTTAGAATAATTTTTTAAATTTTAGCATTTTTGTTTTTAAATCTATTTTAACTGATATATAAAAACATAAAAATTGTAGATATTAATGGAGTATCATGTGATCTTTTGGTACATGTATATAGCATGTAATCTTTAAAACAGTTCAAACATATCCATCTCCTTAAACCTTTGTCATTTCTTTATGGTGATCACATTCAGAATG